CTGTACCAGATCCTACCTCCTCAGACATTGACAGACCCAGATCCTGATACCAGGGCCAGATCCTACATCCTCAGATGCTAACAGACTCACAAGCCTCATACCAGGGCTAAGTCCTACCTTCTCAGACACTGACAGACCCAGATCCTCATACCAGGGTCAGATCCTACCTTCTCAGACATGGAGAGACCCAGATCCTCACACCAGGGTCAGATCCCACCTCCTTAGACACGGAGAGACCCAGATCTGCATACCAGGGCCAGATCCTACCTTCTCAGACACTGACAGACACAGATCCTCACACCTGTAACAGATCCTACCTCCTCGGACATGGAGAGACCCGTATCCTCACACCTGTACCAGATCCTACCTCCTCAGACATGGATAGACTCAGAGCCTGATACTAGGGCCAGATCCTACCTCCTCAGATACTGACAGATCCAGATCCATATACCCATACCCAGATCCTACCTCCTCAGATGCTGACAGACCCAAATTCTCATAAGACTCATACCAGGGCCAGGTCCTACCTTCTCAGACATGGAGACCCAGATCCTCACACTTGTACCAGATCCTACCTCCTCAGACATGGATGGACACAGATCCTCACACCTACACCAGATCCTACCTCCTCAGACAATGACAGACCCAGATTCCCATACCAGGGCCAGATCCTACCTCCTCAGATATGGAGAGACCAAGATCCTCACACCTGTACCAGATCCTATCTCCTCAGACAGGGAGAGCCCAGATCCGCACAAGCCTAATACCAGGGCCAGATCCTACCTTCCCAGACATGGAAAGACCCAGATCCTCACACCTGTACCAGATCCTACCTCCTCAGACATGGAGAGCCCAGATCCTCACAAGCCTCATACCAAGGCCAGATCCTACCTTCCCAGACATGTAGAGACCCAGATCCTCACACCTGTACCAGATCCTGCCTCCTCACACATAGGAGACTCTGATCCTCACACCTGTACCAGATCCTACCTCCTCAGACATTGACAGAC